AAGTGTTCCATGTAGCTAGGTTTTTCTTCCTTGCCTATTTGAGAAATTTGTTCCTCGAGTACAAGGTGGATGGAGCATATAATCATTGGGTTTAACTGAGTTCTATCATTTTTCAACACAAAACATATATGTGTGTGTGAAAAATCATTAAAAGTGAAACAAATTTTAAATTTGGAATCCATAATTTAAAAATGTAATGACTTGGTTTTAATGGTAATAAATTGCAAACTAAACCTATTAAGTTTAACTCATAATTTGGAATGCTTTCGTTGCATGTAATGATAATATATGACCAATAATATATTGCCTCCTTACGTGTGATAGTGATTACATTTGGATTATTATTTCTCCATCACAAGTTAAGATAATATTATGCTTACATAAAGGCGATATCATTCTTAGACTGCATTTTCCAAATATGGCCTTTGGTATGACTAAGAGACGGAATATATCTTGAATTTTCCATCCCTTTGAGCAAACTCTTGCATGACATCAGACATGGATGATATCTAATTAAATGTGACTTAGCTTATTAAAGAAAAATGGCTTGTAACAAAGAATGTTTAATTTAATTAAGTCAAGTGTTGCATTCCGAAGGGAGCTTTGGAGCAACGGTATACTTGTCTCCGTGTGATTTATATGTCACGGGTTTGAACCGTTGAAAAAATCACTAATATTTGCATTAGGGTAGGTTGTTTATAATCACACCCTTAGGGTACGGGCCTTCCCCAAACCCTGCGTAAATACAAAATATTTTGTACAAAGAGATTTTTTTTTTTCAATCACATTCTGATGCCAAAAATGGTAGCGCAAGAGTTATTTGTTAGCCCTATGCGATTGGATGTGAGGTTTTGTCTAGAAGAGCTACACTTGTATTTAATTGCTCCTACGAGATCTAAGTTTTTTTTTAAAAATTGATAATGTTAATGGATGATTTCAATGCAATTTTCGTCCTACTATAGAAAAGTGCAAATTTTCTGAATGTATATATGGTACAACTTATATAAAATTGATGCATTGCTCTTATAGGGTAGAAATATTAAATTACATTGAATAAGTAGGACTCTCGTCTTTCATTGCTTAATAGAAAACAAGCTAGTAGTCAAATTTATAGTTGGAAAATCCAATTCACTTAGCACTTGGCATTGCTTATAATGTTAATTTTAGGTTTAGAAAATATCAACTTGCAGTTTATTATAAAGAGAAATAAGCCTCGACGAGGTTGTTATCAAGCTGAAGGGCAATAGTTTTCAGTACATGACTCATCGATTACTATCCCATTAGAGGAAAAGAGATATTAAAATTTCGTTATTTAAATAGTGAATATCTTGAAATCCCCTTAAACTATTATATTTTTGTCAGTTACATACTTAAATTATCCGATGTCCCCAAAATCCCCTTTAACTATATCCCTTATATGTTAAAAAATCTTTTGTCGATTTTTTAATGAAATATGTGAGGTAACTCGCCAAAAGAAGCGTGAGAGATGAAATTATACATAAATATAGCCCCAATTGGTCATTTCTAATGGTTAATTACTGTTACCCTCTTTAAAAAATTATTTTCCCTATATTTTCTTTATATTCTAGCCTTCTTCATTTTTCATCTTTCTTCTTCCTTTATTCTTATGGTTTTCATATGAAATTTTTTTCTTTTATTTCTTCTAAAATTATCTTTCTTCTTCATTTAGGTCTTCTTCTTTCAACCAAATCCTAATGTTTTTTTATCCAAAACTCTTATTAAGCTACAATTTCCGGTGAAAATGAAGGTTATTGGAAAAAATTCAATGTTTAATCAAAGTTTAATGGTAAAAATCATGATTGAGACATGGTGTAGCCATTATCGGAGGAGATAGAAGAGGTTTTTTTTTTTTTTGACAAATAACCATGTGTTTATCGCTTCATTCCTCTACCTTTGATTTTTTAACCCCCAAAACATTTACCCATTTAATTATTTTTTGTTATTAGTTAAAATTCTTAATTAAATTGATATATCAGATTAGGCTGAATAAATAGAAGGGTGTATCACACTCACCACTAAGAAAACGACGAGAGTTTTTTAATATATAGGTGTATATAATTAAGAGGGGTTTTGGGGACACCGAATAGTTTAAGTAGGTAACTGACAAAAACGTGATAGTTTAAGGGAGTTTTAACTTATTATTTTAAAGAAAATCATTGATCCGAAAGGCCACTTACATATTTCTTTTACTTTTTAGTATTTTGAACCACATAATCTCATGTCAAATGATGAAGTTAATTGTTAATTAAGTTCTTTTGATTTGCATAACTGAGTGTGCAAAGAATGTCGATTTCCACTAATTTGTGGAATATTACTGTAACTACATGGACGGAAAAGAATAAAGAGGAAAACAATTTTTTGCCTTCATTGTGCATCCAAATAGGATAGTGTTTCAGAAGATAAAATTGTGAAGTAACACGTATTAAGGATCAGAGAACATATATAATCATTTTATATTTTTGAAAAAATGACACTATATAGCCGAAAAATATATATTTTTATAATATATATACATTTCTGTATACAACAATAACAACAACAACAACCCAGTAAAATCCCACAAAGTGGGGTCTAGAGAGGGTAATGTGTACGCAGACCTTACCCCTACCCCAATAGGGCAGAGAGGCTGTTTCCGATAGACCCTCGGCTAGAAAGACGGAAATAAAAAATAAGAAAAGACAATTCATTAGTAACTCCAGTAGAAACCGTAATAGTAACAGAAGCATAACAACCAAAAGATAAATGACATGCAATAACAGTAACCAATATCTAAGGCCCGGGGCTAAGATAAACAGCAAGGATAGTGTCGATTCAACATAAAATGCAAGACATCTAAGATCAACCCTAATCCAATCCCGCCTCACCCCCGGTATGAAGTAAGGAAAGCTCTACTGTCCCCTAACCTACAACCCTAATGCTTGACCTCCAGACCTTCATATCAAGGGTCATGTCCTCGAAAATCTGCAGTCGTACCATGTCCTGCTTGATCACCCCTCCCCAATACTTCTTAGGCCTCCCTCTACCTCTTCTCGTACCCACCACGGCCAACCGCTCACACCTCCTCACCGGAGCATCAAGGCTTCTCCTCCGCACGTGTCCGGACCATTTGAGCCTCGCTTCCCGCATCTTGTCATCCACAGGGGCCACGCCCACCTTCTTTCGAATATCTTTATTCCTAATCTTGTCTATCCTAGTATTTCCGCACATCCACTTCAGCATCCTCATCTCTGTTACCTTCATCCTCTGGATATGGGAGTTCTTAACCGGCCAACACTCTGCCCCATACAACATGGCCGGTCTAACCACAACTCTATAAAACTTACCTTTGAGTATCGGTGGTATTTTCTTGTCACAAAAGACTCCATATGCAAGCCCCTATTTCATCCAGCCCGCCCCTATACAGTGAGTGACGTCCTCGTCGATCTCTCCGTCCCCTTGAATCATCGACCCAAGGTACTTGAAGCTATCTCTTTTGGGGATGACTTGTGATCCAAGCCTCACGTCCCTGCCTACTTCCCTCGACTCAGCGCTAAACTTGCACTCCAGGTACTCTGTCTTAGACCTGCTCAATTTGAAACCCTTAGACTCGAGGGTCTGTCTCCAAACCTCCAATCTCTCGTTAACACCGACCCTCGTCTCATCAATTAGAACTATGGCATCAGCAAATAACATACACCACGACACATCCCCTTGAATATGGTGTGTCAATGCATCCATCACCAATGCAAATAAGAGCGGGCTAAGCGCAGAGCCTTGGTGTAATCCCATAACAACCGTAAAATGCTCCGAGTCACCTCCCACAGTCCTCACCTTAGTCTTAGCTCCATTATACATGTCCTTGATTGCTCTTATGTAGGCTACCGGTACGCCTTTTGCCTCAAGACATCTTCAGAGCACCTCCCTAGGGACCTTGTCATACGCTTTCTCAAAGTTAATAAACATCATGTGCAGATCCTTCTTCTTATCCCTGTACTGTTCCACCAACCTCCTAATAAGGTGGATAGCTTCCGTAGTGGAGCGACCCGACATGAACCCATATTGATTGTCAGATATAGACATCGTGTTCCTCACCCTCACCTCCACCACCCTGTCCCAGACTTTCATGGTATGGCTAAGTAACTTGATACCCCTATAATTGTTACAACACTGGATATCACCTTTGTTCTTGTACAACAGTACCACTGTACTCGACCTCCACTCCTCTGGCATCCTCTTTGTCCTAAAAATTACATTGAACAACCTAGTAAGCCACTCCAATCCTGCTCTACCCACACACTTCCAAAACTCAACCGAAATTTCATCTGGCCCGGTCACTCTACCCCTACTCATCTTACGCAAAGCCCCCACGACCTCCTCCACCTTAATGCGCCTACAATACCTAAAATCTTGGAGACTCTCCGAATTCCCCAAGTCCCCTAGCGCTATATCACGGTCCCCCTCCTCGTTTAGAAGACCATAGAAGTACGTCTTCCATCTCTGCTTAATATGGGACTCTCCCGTCAATACTTTACCATCCTCGTCTTTGATGTACCTTACTTGGTCCAGATCCCGGGCCTTCCTCTCCCTCTCTTTAGCCAGCCGAAACAACTTTCTGTCCCCACCTTTCTCCCCAATTCCTTGTATAGACAACCAAACGCTGCATTCTTAGCCTCCGTGACCTCCAACTTTGCCTCCTTCCTTGCCACCTTGTACCTCTCTCTATTCGCTTGACTCTCCTCCTCGCTTGTGCTCCCTGCCAACTTCGCGTACGCTGCCTTCTTCGCCTCCACTTTACCTTGGAGTACGTCATTCCACCACCAGTCGCCTTGGTGCCTGCCAGAAAAACCCTTCGATATCCCTAGCACCTCTCTCACCACCTCCCTCACATAGTTCGCCGTCGTTGACGACATAGTGCTCGCGTCTCCACTACTCCTCCAAGCTCCCATAGTGGATAACCTCCCCTCCAACTCCTGGGCTTTATCCTTGGTTAAAGCTCCCCATCAAATCCTCGGTCGGCCACGAGCATACCTCTTCTTCCTCTTCATCATAATGCCGATGTCTATCACTAAGAGCCTATGCTGAGTCGCGAGGGTGTCTCCCGGGATAACCTTGCAATCCTTGCACAACCCTCTATCACACCTTCTAAGGAGAATGTAATCAATATGATTCTTCACTGTCGAACTTTGGAAAGTAACCAGATGCTCCTCCCTCTTCGGAAAAGTCGAGTTCACAATCACCAGCTCAAAAGCCTTAGCGAAGTCTAACAACGAAGTACCTCCTCCGTTCCTATCCCCAAGGCCAAAGCCCCCATGCACCTCACCATAACCACCAGCAGTCGACCCAATATGGCCATTAAAATCCCCTCCAATAAATATATTTAACATTTCTGTATGTTAAATATATAAATTTTAAAGACTTTTGCGGCTATCATATGCAAATAATTTCGATCGGGACTAAAAATGATATTTTCCCTATATATATCCCCAAACAAAATAACATTATATTACTAAAAAAAATAAATGGTCATCTCACAGAGCTCCTAATTCCTATGGATATCATAGATTTATATTAGCATGTGAATAGGCCTACAAAACCCATGTATATTGTCTTCGATTTCACAATAAAAAGCAATAGAGGTTTAATTAAATAAATGCTAACAAAGATTTGTTCTTTTTGTTTACCCTTAAAATGGATAATAATTAAATTTGTACGCTATTTTAAGAATATGTGGATTGATTCAATACAAGTAATCAAGAATGTTAGATAAACGAATGAAAGACAAAATGAATAATCAAATCATTTGTAATGCTATGGCGTAGCTTGAACTTGGGTTGGACAATGGTTTTACCCTCGATCGGACCCTCGGTCCGGAGCCATAGAGAATGAATAACAAATAGTAAAGTAACAGCTTTGCTGTAGCTAGAGAATAGTAAAAACGAAATTATATTGCCTTGGTATGCGCTTACAACATTAAATAAAAACTATCCCCCTTTACCTAGTAGGAGCGTTTCACCTCTAGTACAATTCTAAGAAAGGTAAAAAATCCTCTTTTTCGTTAATCACTAATCTATTGACAATACGAGCTGTGATATCCGATGGGGTGAGGATATCGCGGCCCTCTGTTGGTCGTCTGTAACCGTTATCGTATTTTCCGAGGTCTCGGAGATCGTTCCGGGATAGGAGAAGTAATGCCTTATCAAGCCCGGTGGCGACCTCTCTGTTCGGACCTCGGTACGAGGCATCTCGGCTTCGATTCCGACCCTATATAGTCATGCCCTCGATTCGTTTGACCCGCCCGAAAGTCGAGGTCTCGGTTACCCTCGGTTTTACCCATATGCCATCATGACTAGTAGATTTTGGGTCGTGACAACTACCTTAGATAGCCAGTCCGGATACTTAACTTTCCGAATGGATCCTATTTTAAGGAGTTTAGATACCTCGTCCTTGATGAAGGTATGCTTGACCTCGGACTGTGATCTCCTTTTCTGCTTAACCAGATGGATCTTCGGGTCCAAACTTAGTTTATGAGTGGTCACCTGTGGCGAGATCTCTGTCATATCAAGATGGGACCAATCGAAACAGTCTATGTTAGTTATAATGAATTCAATGAGTTTTTTCCTAAGCTCAGGAGTTAAGCCCGTGCCCAGGTATACCTTCCAATCGGGCAAGTGTTCGATCAATATGACTTGCTCCAGCTCCACGACTGTTGATTTGGTGACATTGAAATCATCAGGGGCGATGAACGACCTAGGGGCTCCGTAATCATCATCCTTGCCTCCTCCTCGCTCTTCCGATTCGGTCATATAAGTGATTGCTATTTAGTTACTTTCTTCCTAGTCAGCTCCGTGTTCTTTAATGTTGAGAGCACGGGCACCGGGATTACCTCATCGTCTACAAACATTTCTTTTACAGTCGGCTATTCTCCGTAAAACGTCTTGATCCCTCCCTGTGTGGGGAACTTCAGTGCCTACTATAATGTCGAGGATACTGCGCTCATGTTGTGAACCCAAGGCCTTCCGAATAAGGTGTTATACCTCATGTCCCCTTCAATCATATAGAATTCGGTATCCTGAATCATCCCGGCAATATTTACTAGCAAAGTTATTTCTCCTTTGGTAGTTTTGCATGCCATATTAAATCCGTTCAACACCCTGACCGCCGACACTATATGATCTTGTAGCCCCAACTGTTCTACGACCCTCGATATGATAATGTTGATCGATCTGCCTGGATCAATCAACATTCGCTTGAGTCGGGATTTGTTGATAAGTACGGATATTACCAATGCATCATTATGAGGCTGCATAATGCCCTCGGCATCCTCGTCGCTGGACGAAATGGCGCCCTCCAAGATATAATCTCGGGTGCGCTTCTCCCTCGTGATGGATACTTTTTTGCGCTTTATCACAGACCCTTGAGGGACATCGACCCCTCTAATGACCATGTTGATGACGTGTTGAGGTTCCTCTTGGTCGGCCCATTTGTTGGAGCCCCTATTCCTGAAGTGATTTTTGGCTCGATCACTCAGGAATTCTAGGAGATGCCTGTTGTCGGAAGTCCTCGGTCTTGTGGCCAGGAGTTTCATGATACTTACACATCAGATTAGGGTCTCTCTGGGTAGGGTCAGATTGCAATGGTCGAGGCCACTTGGTCTCCTTAATGCGTCCAATGGACGATACGATGCTTGTTGCGTCAACGTTGAAGTTATACTCTGACAATCTTGGAGCTTCCCTCCCACCGAGCGGCCTGTCGAAACCACTTTTTCTCATCAAGCCTCAATTATTGGGCCCTCAATCGCTTCTCTTTTTGTTTCTTATAGAGTTGCTTCGGGACCCGTTTCCCCTTCGATTTATGATGTATGGTTGATACCGTTCTCGGACCAGCCTTGATTCATGATAGACGATTCTCTTAGGCTTGTCATCGGTTCTGATGGGATAAACGGGCCCGGAAGGGGCTCCGAGTTGGTCATCCTTGACTCTAATTTTTGATCAATACCTATTGTGTACGTCGATCCAAGTTACCGCTGGGTATTCTACCAAGTTTTGCTTCAGCTGCTGCGAAGCAAAGAAGCTTCGGTGTTTGATTCCTAGAGTAAATGCATGAATGGACCAATCATCCGCAATTGGAGACAAGTTCATCTGTTCCATTTGAAACCTCGACACGAACTCCTTGAGCATCTCGTTGTCCCTTTTCTTAACCTTGAAAAGATCCTATTTTCTGGTCGCGACCTTGATGGCCTCGACATGAGCCTTCACAAAAGTATCTGCGAGCATAGCAAACGAATCAATGGAATTTGGGGGCAAGTTGTGGTACCATATCATCTCTCCTTTTGACAGAGTTTCCCCAAACTTCTTTAATAATACTGACTCGATTTCATCGTCTTCCAAGTCGTTGTCTTTGATGGTGCATGTGTAGGAGGTCACATGCTCATTTGGATCCGTGGATGCATTATACTTTGGAATATTGGGCATACGAAACCTTTTCGGATTGGTTTCGATGCCGCGCTTGGAGGGAAAGGCTTTTGGACAAATTTCTTGGAGTCCACACCCTTCGATATTTGAGACGCTCCTAGGATTTGATCAATCCGAGAATTATATGTATCTACCTCTTTGTCGTTTTCCTCGATTTTCTTTTCACTAGATTCCACTCGTTTCGTTAATGTCTCTAACATTTTCATCACTGCAGGGCTTGTCACACATCCTTTTTACGCACCCGCGGGTGTGCCAGGGAGTTTTTTCCAATTAAACGACAATCGAAACGGGATTTGTTTATTTATTTCAGAGTCGCCACTTGGGAGATTTAGGGTGTCCCAAGTCATCAATTTTAATCCCGAATCGAGGAAAAGAATGACTCCATATTACAGTCTGCATACCAGAAATCCGGATAAGGAATTCTGTTAACCCGGGAGAAGGTGTTAGGCATTCCCGAGTTCCGTGGTTCTAGCACGGTCGCTCAACTGTTATATTTGGCTTGATTATCTGATCTTATACAAACATGACTTTGTGTGCAAATTTAAACTTTTAACCACTTTTGTCGTTATTATTATTTTTACAAGAATTGCAACGTCGTGAAAACATATCTCGAACCACGTTACATCAATGCACCCGTAGTTATCGATATATCTCGACTCGGTTGAGATTTGGATTTGGGTCATATAAATGTGCACTCGAATTAGGGAAAATAAATTGTCAAAGGCGCGCCTAAAGCAACTAGCGTCTTGTTATTTTGGGGAAGGTCGTAAAAATCCGTTAAACNTCGTGGAAATTGAATGCTTTGATATATACATTTAACGAGGGCCCCGCAATTTGTGCGTTTTTCTTTATTTTTTGTCGAGGCTCATCTCGTCCTTATTTTAAAAGGATATCCTATAGCAACTACGTTTCTTGTCGCGTTTGTCTCTACTAATTGAAAACAGAGATAGTCCTAGTTAATTACATGCTTGCAGGTTATTTATAGCAGGATTCAAAATGCTTTTACAGAATAGGNTCTTTATTTTTTTGTCGAGGCTCATCTCGTCCTTATTTTAAAAGGATATCCTATAGCAACTACGTTTCTTGTCGCGTTTGTCTCTACTAATAGAAAACAGAGATAGTCCTAGTTAATTACATGCTTGCCGGCTTATTTATAGCAGGATTCAAAAATGCTTTTACCGAATAAGTAAACGGGATTACGCACACGGACAGCTGATCGGACATTATGGGCCCAAATCCAACTCATACGGGATGGGCCAGACCTGGGCCACTGTTCATCTGATGCGGACCTACTTGGTCCGTTTTCTACCTAGGCTCAACCTCCGTGAGGTTGAGACCATAAACTTGTGTCTTTGTCCTGTAGGTGTGGCTGATTACTAATTATAGCCAAAGCAATTCATCCAAAGGAGACGAGCTTAGCTAGGAATGGATAATTTCATGCTTAGCATGTATTAAACGACATGTTACACGATTAAACCAAATCTGGGATACAACCTATTGTATTGGGAATGTTTTACCTAACCGCATGCATATATAGACTAACATTCAATTGTCCTACATTGATGTCTATTAGACAGGCAAGCTACTTCCAGCATCCAAACAGGAATAAAAATTATTATACATTACATGATATTTAATGTAACAATCTATGTATAAAAGACATTCTGCAGGTCTTTTCATTTGTATTCATGCTCAAGTTTCCAATTACATCTGACAGTGTATTAGCTGTGTACCTGATATAGAGAACAAAAGAAGGAAAAATCAGTTGAGTGGCACACAGCAGGCACAACAGCAGCAGGTAAACAACACAACACAGCAACAAACGAAGCAACCACAATGATGAAGCTCAGCAAGTGATCGAGAAATGAACAGACTATCCTAGAAAATAGAGTAGTGAACCAGTAGGAACAACAGAGTATTCAATGTACCAACACCAGTAGTTCAACAATCATAGGCAGCTCAACAGGCAACCAACAGCAATTGGCCAAGACAGCTTAACCAATCTTGAACTCTTATGTAATTTTCAGACAGTGTTTGGTTACAATATTCTGAGAATTTTTGTTTCTTGTTTTCTCTGAAGACTAAAAAATGTCCAGCCCCTTTTAAGTTCTGAAATAGCCTATTTATAAGCCAAACGACCTAGTGCAGCTAAGCTGCCTGGATTCTGCCAATTAGTCTGCCCATACCCCTTCGTTTCCCATGCCTAAAGGCATTTTCTTGGAATCCTTAATCAGCCCCCCATGCTCTGTCTCATTGCTCTAATCAAGAGTTATGGGTGCATTATAGTATTCACTTTGAACCCATGCCCCTATGTTTTGTTCCCCACTGTCATTAGGCTAAGGGTATTTTAATTACCACTTGACATATTCTTAAATTAAACCCCCTAATCAGACTTGGTCCTATGCCAAAACTACCCTTAAACCTTGCATATTACTGTACTACCCTAACTCCTGATAGTCAGTATATAAACCTCTCTGATTTCAACCAATACCTGACTACTAGCTAATTAAACTCACTACTGCTTTCAGGCTGATTTGTTAGATTCCTAAAGCTAATTGCCAACTTTCTGCCTAAGTTCAAGCAATGATTCAAACTTTAAGCAAACAGGGGTACCAATCAAATGGTATGAGTTGGCCACCTTGGGAGCCTTTCCTGAACAACTCACAACCAATTGATCCAATGTGCGGTCAGGGGTGTAAACTATGATTGACGTGCTATTATGTCAGGCTTACAAACAACATCATAAGATAAAAAGAAACGGACACAGTAATCGCACTGAAACGTAGGCTCCTGATTTTCAAACATTCAAGTGGATTCAGTTGACGACACTTATTTAGATGACTATACAAACTATAACATACAACAAACAATCAATAAAACCAACAAACAAACTCAACTTTAAACTCAAAATGTACACACATGGATAGACGAGTCAAAAACCAAAACAAACCAGAACATGTATGACAGATAGAGTTTAGGAGGACAAAAGAAAAAAAGGGAAAATACCTCCGGGACATAAAACTAAGACTGACTCAAGCTCGAACTCGGGCCAGGTTATTTTGGGGTCTAATGGACTTTAACCGAAGCGTTCTTAACTGAGAACACTTCGGTAAAAGTCTGCTAGACCCTGATCCTGCCACTGATTCGGACAGAACCCATAGATCTGAATCCTAGGGTTCTTGAGGTTCGATTTGGGAACTGTTCAATTCCAGTCAGATTCGAACGGAACCAAAGCCATTCAGGGGGTGAGGGAGGTCAGGAGGGGCTGTGGTGTGAGTTTGGGGTCAATCGGTGTAGATCTGGTTTTTGCTCGAATCTTCGTTTGAAGATTCGAGAAGCTACGGGTTGATTCGAGGTGAACGGTTAACGGATTCATGTTCAGGGTGGTTGGGTGCATCGGGGATGTTATTTTGGTGGTCATCGGAACTGTNTTCAATCCTGACCGTTGGATTGATCACAATTGATGGTCAGGATTGGGGAAGCTTAACAATACGGTGCCGTTTGGTTAAGTAGGGGGTCGGTTAAAATGGGAATGGGTCGGGTCATGAGGGCCAATAAGGGCCATCGGATCAATGGAGATGAATGGCTCAAATCAACCGTCCCTGAAACGACGTCGTTTGGGTCCGTACTTGGGCAGGCCGGACTTGGACTGGACTGGTGTGCCGGTTTTGGGCCTATTTTTGTTACATTTCTTGGGCCCAAACTGATTTTCATTCACTCTTTTCTTTTGTTTTCTAATTTTAAAACAAAAAGTGAAATAATAATAAAACAAAAATGAAATTAAAACAAACAACAATGTAACATTTTAACACAATTATCACATACATAAAAATGTTTAAGCAAGTTAAATCACAACCTAGAACGGACGATGCACGTATATTTTGAATTTTCTTTTAACGACCGAATTACGGTTTGATTACCATGACAGACATACTTTGTATTTTGATTGGTAAGATCAAATGCAACATGGGCC